ATCTTTCTCTCGTCATTTGGGTCATGAGAGTTATGGACTTCAACCTGGTAAATTAAATTCAGCTGTATACAGTAGAACACTGTTATTTTTAACTGAAAAAATCAAACTTATATTTACCCTGACTCAATTGTAAGTTGATTTTAAAGTGGAAGCGTGGACCTCCCTAGAATTTTTTTTTTTCCATTGAAAGGTTTTGATCAGTCTACAGGTATGGTTTTAGATTTTACAGTCAACCCTTGTCATTGTAGACACCTAAAGACTTTGAGTTCCTGGGGGGCATATAGATCGTTTTCACTGTCATGCAACAAAAAAATAAATTGGAAACCGTCCAGCAGAAGAAGACAAGAAAATGAAATGTTATAAAAGACTAATTTATAAACAATTTTTCCAAGTCTGAGGTCTTTGTGGTCCACAGTTTCTGAGTTATTTGCCGAAACGTTTCAGTCAACTTTTTAGAGCGTTGTAGGGAGACGCCATATTGGTGTGCTGTTTAGGTGCACCAATATGGCTGCTGGAAATCAATAAAAACATAATTGTTGTTCATTTTTTCACTCGAGAACTAGCATACGTGTGCATAGACATACCTTCTAATACTTGAAATGGTTATACAGTCAACTCTCTCTAAGACGGACACCTTTGGGGCCAGCACTAAGTGTCCGTCTTAGAGAGATGTCCAACTTATAGACAGTCAAATAAAGGGAGAAAAGAATGGCAGGGACCAACTCTAGGTGTCCGTTTTATGGAGTTGTCCGTCTTATAAAGGTGTCCATTAAATGAGAGTCGATTGTACTGCTGAAAATCAAGATGAGAGACTTCTTTCAACGAGACATTTCTATTTTGGTGTCATGCACAGTGAAAACTTGGAAGTTTCAGTATTTTCGAAATGAAACATGCTACAGGAATGGAAAGTTGTGCAAAGATTTTTTTTGTTTGTCTTCAACCTAGTGTTAATAAGAATTCATAAAACCTCGCTATTTTGACTTAACAATTTGATGACATCACTGTGAAAACCATCTATAGATACATGTATCAGAGAGTCTGGTTCTAGAATAGGGTATCATTTTAGGCCTTTTTTATGGAGGAAAGTTGTCCCAAGTAGAATGGTCACCCTCTCAGCAGGGCTTCTGAGCCACAAAGTTTCGGTAAATCCTTAAAATACGGCAAAATTCTGTAGAAATCTTATCAAATACATGTCTGTTCAACATCTCAGCCATTGGGGCTGTGTACTAGCTGTAAACGTGCAAATTTATCTTGAAACCTCATCACTGAAATGAGCAAACAATGTCCAAAAACTACCAGGCGTAGATTATGTTGCAGAAAACTGGGCACTAGCCATGATGTTGAAAGACCAAACTATGACCTCTGTAAAGAAAACATTAAAAACACTGGTCTAGTCAGCGCAAAAACAATTGATTTTCTAGAGAAATCTGCCCTGAAAATTCCCATGAAATTGGCTTTTTTTAAAAATTGTTTTTCAGTGAAGTTTGTGACATAAATTCGCGCAAAATTCCCCTGAAATCGAGAGGTGTTTTTACAAATTTGTCCCTGAAAATCCTGTGAAATTTGACATTTTTTTCCGTGACCTACATGTATAAGAAGCCCTGTCTCAGCTGAATCATTGAATTTTAACAGGTCAAAACTATAGCGCTTGTCCTTTCTCTGATTGCCTAAAACAGCATTCTAAAACTGTTTATAAAATAACTAAGATAGTACGCGCGCTCTGATTGGCCGAGAGAAGTGTTTGCATGAGAGTATGTAAACATGGTTGTGGCGTCAAGTTGTTTGGGTTTTCACGCGCTAATCACGCAAGCATGAATTTGAAAAAGTTTTCGAGTTCAAAACTCTTAAAGTTTACTTTATTTACCCATTCTTTCGTTGGCTGAAACATGGAAAATCGTTACAAAGAAGGTCAGTCAATTTTTCTTCGCTTAAGCTGACATTTAAAGCGTCAAAAAATCCATATTTTGCAAAGCATCTTTTTGCAAAACAAGAGCTGATTACGCGTGCAAGACTTCGTGGACAAGATTTTGCGACTAGTAAGAATTTCTCCTTTAATCAGTGCCATACAAAGAGTTTTGCGTTTTTTTTGTCTGGAAAGTTATTTTATAAAGGCAATAGAAAACTTTTTTCCTGTGTTTGCGTAGCCTGATATAAACACTCGAGGCGTCGGGAGAATTCTCGACAGTTATTCAAACCCTCGACTTCGTCTCCGGTTTGCATAACTGTCTCGAATTCTCCCAACCCCTCTCGTGTTTATATCAGGCTATGCAAACACGGAAAACGTTTTCTATTGCTTAAACAGTTATTGTACATGCTATGATTGTCTCACCTTGGTTGAGTTGACCCAGCCCTGCAAGCCTACACTGTAAGTGTTTATTTGATTTCAGGTTACATTTTTTTAACCTAGGTTGATTCTCAGTTTCCTTTGTCTGCTAGCCCTATTGTTCATGAATTAGACAAAGGAATTGAGAATCGACCATTTTAATCAAAATTAACCTGAAATCAATTTAATTTTTTGTGTAACATTTATATTAAGAAAAGTTGGCCCAGCTGGGAGGTTGACCCTACAATCACTAAAAGGTGACCTGGCTTTACAGTAAGCAGGGTCACCCTTCTAGCCAAACCAACTTTGTGTTTCTCATAAATGGTTTGCCTTGAAGGTTGAAATGGAAGTGTAAGAAAAGTTTGGTCCCCCAGGGTGGCTCGGGTAGGAAGGTGACCCTTCTTCCCAGACAAGTTTTCTCTACACAAATGGGGCCCAAATCTATAATTTGTAGGCTTCCAACATGTAGGTAAATGAGGAATTTATACTTAAAAAAATAAAGGATAGAGTATGGAATGATAGGGTAGCAATAATCAGCTAAACTAGGATAGACTGGTATCAAGTCTAAGGGTGGTAGGGTCCCCCCCCCACCCCCTCTAGTTATTGTCCCTAATAGTAGGTGTCCATAATTAGTGTGGGAGTGTTTTTTTATTCATAGGTCTGTAATTTAACCAGTTTTCAGCTGCTGTCCATAGTACAGACTTATTACACTGTCTGTTGTAATGAGATGTCTTTGTATTCTTTTCAGGTTCTCCTTTACTCGCATTATATAATTATGTAGATTATGGTGCAAACATACATGTAATGTCCAGTGTTCGTTTCGCGCCTTGCATTTTTTGTGCGGGTGTTGTAAGTTTAATGTTTGTGCATTGTTAAATATAATATAAGAGTTTTTAAATAATGATAAAATTATCAATCATTTTTAGGATGGTATGGGCAAGCTAAGAATAACTGATCAAGGCTTAAAACTTTACCATGGTGAAGCAGAGTTTGTGAATGAATTACGAGCAAAGTTGATACGGCCCAGTCAGGTATATAATTATTCACTTCTTTGATCTAGTATAAGCATGAAATAAAAATANTTGTTGTTGAAAGAACGAAGCATGATCTCTGTAAAGAAAACATTAAAAACACTGGTCTGATCAGCGCAAAAACGATTGATTTCTAGTTAAATTTGCCCTGAAAATTCACATAAAATTGGCCTTTTTTATTGATTGTTTTTCGGTGGAGTTTGTCGCATAAATTCACGCAAAATTCCCCTGAAAACGGGAGGTTTTTTTTACAAATTTGTCCCTAAAAATCCCGCAAAATTTGACTTTTTTTTCAAAGCTCTGTCTCAGCTGAATCATTGAATTTTAACAGGCCAAATACTATAGCCCTTGTGCTTTCTCTGATTGCCTAAAACAGAATTCTAAAACTGTACAGTAATTTTGCATGCTCTGATTGTCTCACCTTGGTTGAGTTGACCCAGCTCTGCAAGCCTACACTGTAAGTGTTTATGTTACCGGTCAAATGTTTTTAACCTAGGTTGATTCTCAGTTTCCTTTGTCTGCTAGCCCTATTGTTCATGAATTAGACAAAGGAATGAACAAAGGAATTGAGAATCAACCAGTTAAATCAAAATTAACCTTAAATCAATTTAATTTTTTGTGTAACATTTATATTAAGAAGAGTTGGCCCAGCTGGGAGGTTGACCCTACAATCACTGAAAGGTGACCTGGCTTCACAGTAAGCAGGGTCACCCTTCTAGCCAAACCAACTTTGTGTTTCTCATAAATGGTTTGCCTTGAAGGTTAAAATGGAAGTGTAAGAAAAGTTTGGTCTCCCAGGGTAGCTCGGGTAGGAAGGTGACCCTTCTTCCCAGACAAGTTTTCTCTACACAAATGGGGCCCAAATCTATCATTTGTAGGCTTCCTACATGTAGGTAAATGAGGAATTTATACTTAAAAAAATAAAGGATAGAGTATGGAAGGATAGGGTAGCAATATTGAATAATCAGCTGAACTAGGATAGACTGGTATCAAGTCTAAGGGTGGTAGGGCCCCCCCCCATCCCCTCTAGTTATTGTCCCTAATAGTAGCCTGTGTCCATAATTAGTGTGGGAGTGTTTTTTATTCATAGGTCTGTAATTTAACCAGTTTTCAGCTGCTGTCCATAGTACAGACTTATTACACTGTCTGTTGTAATGAGGTGTCTTTGTATTCTTTTCAGGTTCTCCTTTACTAGCATTATATAATTATGTAGATTATGGTGCAAACATACATGTAATGTCCAGTGTTCGTTTCGCGCCTTGCATTTTTTGTGGGGGTGTTGTAAGTTTAATGTTCATGCATTGTTAAATATAATATAAGAGTTGTTAAATATAATATAAGAGTTTTTAAATAATGATAAAATTATCAATCATTTTTAGGATGGTATGGGCAAGCTAAGAATTACTGATCAAGGCTTAAAACTTTACCATGGTGAAGCAGAGTTTGTGAATGAATTACGAGCAAAGTTGATACGGCCCAGTCAGGTATATAATTATTCACTTCTTTGATCTAGTATAAGCATGAAATAAAAATAACATAGTAACATTATTACTTAATTCTGAATATTTTCCATCAGCTTTCTGTACATTCCAGGTTATTTTCAGAAAATTGAGTTTTCTCTTTGTCACATTTTGAATAAAATCTGTTTAAGGTATCAGCCACCCTTCAGAACCGTCCGCGCGCGGATCATTGTAGCGTTAGTTGTTTTTATAAAAACCCCTATAAACCATATATTTTTTAAAAGCTTAATAATTCCAGACTATGGATTTGAACTAACAAAAACGATTTACTTAAATGTGTTTCAAAATTGGAACACTTTGTGCAAAAGTACACGTCTGTATAAATCATGTTCCACTCCCGCCGGAAATAAACGGAAGAAAACAATTAGCACCGCATTCGCTTCTCAACACGTTCCACCAAAAAACCTTGTCTCAGATTTTTGACAAGTGCGTTTGTTTTTCTTTTATTGGCAAATGAAGTTGGGGAAGGCAATTAGTCAACACTCCCTGTGGAAAAAAAGCTCTGGCTTTGAAATGAAAAGGAGTATTGAAATTCACAGACACGGTTTTGTAGAAGAGATATATGGCATCACTCTGGCAAAATTTTAGCCAAATTGATTGAAAGGCTGCCGACTTGGAGTTCAAAACGTACGAGTCGATCAGCAAAATTTGCGTTCGGAGATAAAAAAGAAAATACATTTTTGGCAGCATCCTACCTGGAATGAGATAATTTATAACACCTAAATGTTTATTCTGATTGATATCAGAGAGGGATCAATTTTCTCTAACAATAGGACTTTGACAGGCAAGATGTAACAGGAAAACTTCCACTCTCACACCACGAGAAGCACGGTTTAATTCTTTCTCGAGCAAAAGTTTTGCCTCTCCTTCGATCTTTTTTTGTATGATCCGCCCAGGCGTTTTTGTTGATCGGCGCCAGGCCAAGGAAACTAAAAAACTTTGAAGCCGCCAAATGTCCACCACCGATTACTCGAAGGCCAAGAACTGAGGCCCGGTTTATTTCAAACGCTCTGCTCTTCTCGGAGGAATTAAGAACAGAATTTGTCTTGTGCGACGGACAGCTTTCATTCTCGCACTGGATTCTCCAGGTAGAACCAAGTCCATGCTTAGTCGCTACATTTTCCATGACTTGGACTCTTCCCTGGCAAAATCGACAAGATACAGACTCGTCCAGTTTCTCAAGCAGCCTTTCGGTCGATACAATAGCTCGACCGCTTATTGTTTTCCACGTTCCATCAGCAGATGGGGTCGATGAGCTTAACTGGCTTTCTTCATCTGGCTCTTCAAGCTGGATTTTGGAGCGGCTTGCACTCTCAGCAACTGCAGCATTTTCGCTTTTCTGAATATCCAACTCCTCGAGCCACTTCTCTTGCTGATAAAATGAGCCTTTGTCGTTCTCTGCCAATTTTGCGGCCCATTCTTTGTCAAACTCGCTCTTCGATTTCTTTTTCGCTCTCGGTTTCGATGACGAAAACGGACATGACCTTTTCTTTTTTTTGGCGGCATTTTCACCGAAGCAAACGCTAAATATCCACGGAGAATACTAAAGGCTATAAACAACGCGAAGACAATTTGCACGTGTTGTGTCGAAGCACACACTCGATCACAGGCAAGTTAATTGATATATGACATGGGTATGACAGATCTTGTCAATGATCAATTAAGATAATTAAGGAGAAAAAATCTTTTACCCCCGATATCTTTGGACAGAAATAATATTTTCTTCTGATTTTTTTTTTTAAAAGAAAGCTCTCAAGCATATCTATTTGAAAACGTTGAAACCTTAAATATGGAAAAATGGCAATTTTATGGGTGGCTGATACCTTAAGTGGTACTTGTAGCTATAACAACCGCTTCTCAATCAGTTATTTGATTGGTTTGGTTGTTTACATGGTAATAATAATGCCAGCGCAAATGAATAGATACAATGTATTTATTGTGATTGTTTTTTGTAAAGAACACATTGAGTTGATAAATAAAGAAATAAAATAATTTGAGAAAAGCCGAGTACAGGTGCATGTAGTCAAACTTACAAAGCTATGAAAGACTACATGTAACAACAAAGAACATGTTCCCAAAAAAACAATTCCTTGCTTTGCTAGTTTCCTCATACAGCAAGGTTAATAGATCTGTTGGAATTTGCTTTGCACATGGCTAAATTAATATAAAAATATCTAAAAAATATCTATATTATAGATATTTTTGTTATTTACCAACTCCATGAAGTTAATGATATTTTAATTTACTATTTGCTTTCAGAATTCTGAGTTAACACTTCAGTCAACAGCAAATGTGACAGTAAATGCTCGCTCCGAGTATGGGAACATCACTGGACAACTTTTTATAGGAAATGATGAAGTCGTTGCCCGAAATCAGAAACTCTACATTAAAACTGATCAAGGAAAAGATATCTTGTATGCTGACAAAGATAAAATCCTCTTTGCTTCTGATAAACTTGAATTTTCAAGTAAGTGCTTGTATTTTATTTATTCCATTAAGGCTTCTTAATTGTTATGAAGGAACATCATTGCAGCTATATAGATTACACAACTTTTGCAGTTACGAAAAGAAAGCCTGAAAAAAATTAGGCTTGTACAAGCACAGCACCAGTATCAGCGAGTTCAAGGGTTCGAATCCCATACAAGCCTGAATTTTTTTCACAGCTGCAAAAGTTGCTTATATAACTGTGATGACACATATTATAATTTTCATGTGTATTCATAACTTCATCATCATCCTTTCATGGGTTTATAATGAAACCAATTCAACAGCCTGCTCCCAGTTGGCTTGTTAGCTTTTCATTGGTAGAGCACTGCACTGTTATTGCAGAGGTCAAGGGTTCAAATCCTGTACAAACCTTAATTTTTTCAGGCTTTCTTTTCACAACTGCAAAAGTTGCTTTTATAACTGCAATGATCTTCCTTGTTCATAATTCTTCACTCCGCAGTTCACAATTATTACTAGTATTTCCTTGTTTCAGTCTTTATTATTTTTTAGTTTATTTTTACTTTAAAATGCAAAATAGCCCTAGATAGTAGTATATATCCGTGAGGGTAACAAATCCTCAGTTGCATTGATCCAAGCTCATCTCCTTTGCACTTGTGATTGGGTGTTTCCAATGTGTTTGATCTCCCATCCACTGCCTCTTCTGTCTATTAACCTTCTCCGCCCACATCCTTGTCCTTGTAGATAATGAAGTTGCAGGGTTTTCATTGTGATTAGCAATTCTAGTAGCAGGCGACAGGTGTAACATTGTAGGAGAATATTTTGAAAGAGGCTCCACATCTGAGTAAAAATAGTCATAGGCTTCTATCTGATATGCAGAGAATTCTGCAGAATAATTGGAGAATTATCCAATCTCCAATGCCTGATGAACACCTTGATTTGTTTACTCATTTAGTGAGTGTGTTTTTTCATCTTGTAGGTCCTAATGGAGCACATTTTAGTGGGTCTGTTGAAACCGAATACTTGAGAGCCCCTCCAAGGAAGGACCTGAGGTTGGCATCTCTGACTCGTTCTCTGTACATAGATGCCCCTGAGGGCATGACATTCAGATCTGCCGGTGGTGATGTTGGCATTACAAGTTTTAAAGATGTGACGATAAAGTCCATTGATGGAATGGTAAGATACAAGCTTAAACCATAGTAATAATAATTGCTTACCAAAAAGGTTTTTTACCTGCTCTGGCAAAGACATTAGTGAGCTTACGCAACAGGACGGTAGGAAGAAGAGGACCGCAAAACACTTGTGTGTGACAAACGTGACAAGCCTATTACTTTTGTGTTTTGTGGGGATCTTTACCTGAGTTAATGTTGTCTGGTCTTTTACAAAAAAATCTGTTTAAAGGAAGGTGAAGTTCGGTGGAAAAGTTTTTCTAACAAACTTATTGTCACACTTGTCACACAAGGTTTGCCGTCTTCTTTCCTCTCCCGTCCTGTTGCGTAAGCCCACTATTATTGCCAACGAGACAACCGAGCTAAGAAGCGAGGTTGCCTCGGTGGCAGATTTATAGTCCCGCACGATGTAGGCAAAAACTCTCAAATTCTGCGTAACCCTCTAAAATTTGCATTTTTGTATTTATAACTCGTGGTCCGAAATTGGGTGATTCAGTGGGCAGCTGTTCGTTGTCTGTTCAAGAGGACCTAACAGGTGAGCAAGCTCTAATACGATTTCTAGTTTGAAAGGGCAATTAGTGCTCTGGTTTGCTTTATAAATTGTGTTTAAAGCAGCAGCTGATGAAGGAATAGGGTTTTACGCTCAAATTTTGTCAGAACCAGCTTATTCTTTGCAGCTCAATTTACAATGAGGTAGTGCGTTCGCTTCTCGACTCAGAACCAGGGTTTCCGTGTTGTCTTTTGCTTTGTGAATTGAATTTTAAACGTAGTTGATCAAGGTATAGGGTTATATTCTCAAAACTTAATCAGAACCAGCGTGTTCTTCGCAGATCGATTTACATTGAGCCAGTCCTCAACGTATTTGCGGACCTTTTTTAGAATTTATTCGTATCTTTAGATTTTGTCAACCAGCATGATTCTTTGATTTACCTTGAGACAGCCCAAAACTCCCATGAGGAATGCAACAAATTTGCGAACCTTTTGTTTTGAAGACTATCATTATGCCTTTCAAGAGAATCTTTGACCTGTGACACTCGCTCATTAGATCTTTGTATTTTATTTAAGTTTATATTTTTATACCTCTGATACATTCCGCCCCATTCTTGCGCTTTTCACATATTTTATTTTACACCAACTTTTTCTTATGTATTACCACGCGAAATCTTTTCTTATCCCTGATGACGCTGTTGCTCGGAATTTAATTATTATTTTTAATTTCAGCAGTCATAGGCCTCATTTGAACTATATTTTTCTTTCTAATGTTTATAGTTTTGATATAATGGAATTTTCCATGAAACACAAGTGCTAACTTACTCATATTTACCAACAAACCTTCAAGCTATGTTGTTATTGTTTAATAAAAGTGACAGCCTAGAGTGTGCCAAAGTTGTTGTTTTGAAGTTTGGTGCCATCCTTTTCTATAGTGGAATCCATTGTAAACCTCTAAAATTATGAAGAAAAAAAATATCGCGAAGGTCTGAATAGGCACATCACGCAAAAGATAAACGAATTCGCCTCGTTGGCACTTGCCAGAAGGTACCCCTAGTTTTAAAACATAAAATTCAAAAAGTCAGAGCAAAATTACAAATGAACGAAACAAATATTTTGCCAACCACAGTCTGATCAAAGCTGCATAAAAGTATTGATAATTAATAATTATTATTAATTGATTAGGATTGGTTACTAATTGTAATTTTTGTATGCTTTTATTTCTAATGTATTATTTATACCTACAGATAAAGCTGGATGGGAAGAAGATTTCATTCAAAGATCTAAGAAAAGTTAACGGTGGCAGTAGTCCAGACCCAAATGCTCGTGAAGTTTGCATTTGTCCCAGTGGGGAATTGGCCTTGGCGGCAGTTGGTAGCAACTGTAATATCAACTGTTAAAGTAATTAATGCAGTGTTCTGGTTCAACATCTCTTCCCATAATTGAGCATTGTGTGCCTTGCCAATTTATTGAGATCAGTTCGGTATTATTTAAACCCTAGTAGCAATC